CTTACCCAGTATATGTGTCTAATATCTAATCAGAATATGTCTCTACACCTGATATCAGAACATGTCTCTACACCTGATATCAGAACATGTCTCTACACCCGATATCAGAGTATGTCTCTACACCCGATATCGGAACATGTCTCTACACCCGATATCGGAACATGTCTCTACACCCGATATCAGAACATGTCTCTACACCCGATATCAGAACATGTCTCTACACCTGATATCAGAACATGTCTCTACACCCGATATCGGAACATGTCTCTACACCCGATATCGGAACATGTCTCTACACCCGATATCGGAACATGCCTCTCCACCTGATATCGGAACATGTCTCTACACCTGATATCAGAACATGTCTCTACACCTGATATCAGAAAATGTCTCTACACCTGATATCAGAACATGTCTCTACACCTGATATCAGAACATGTCTCTACACCTGATATCAGACACACTAACTAAGTAACACTGCAGTGAGATATCGGGTCTTGTTTTTAGACAATGCATAATCTTGTTCAGTCAAAATATCTTATTTTGAGTTGTATCTCAGATGAAACACATATTTATTTATTTATTAGGAAATCACCAACTGACATCAGAAACAGAACACTTTTGAGTATTTGCGGCTTATATTGTAACAAAATGTCCTGATTCTGGTGAAAAATAGCTCAAAATGAGTTCTCCCAGCTAATTACAAGATCTGATTTATCTAATTACCCCTCCTTATTTTAAGAAATCTTACCAAGCACATTTTCTCTTGGCAGATTTTTGGACTTATTTCAAGTGAAAACAGCTTATTTTCATTATCGTTTAACTAGTTTTTGGGGTAGCATTTTCTCCAGTGTAAGTGAAGGCAACTTCTCATCACATCACCCATCAACACAGCATTAAAACGTATATTTTCCTTCACCTCCACACATCCGGAGTAGAAGGGCTGGTCTCCGTGTTGCTCCTGCAGCATGGGCACCACGGTGCTGGAGTACAGGCTCCACCAGTCCTGCAGGAAGGTGGGGTGCGTGGTGGCGTCGTCCGCACTGCCTGTGATCTGTCTGGATGTGGTGTTGTACGTGTAGCTCCACGGCTTGGTCTTCCCCAGGAAATGCACCACCTTGGCATTGCCACCATATCTGAAATGAGATGTTTTTTATTGTGGATTAAGTTCGGATGTCTCATTTAAATGATAGCTATACAAGTCATTCTGATTCAGAAAACATTACCCAGTCACTTGAAATAAAACAGCCCCACACTTAAGACTAACTTTTCGAACCGCTTTTGACTTCAACTAGCGGTTTCTCAAACTTACATACCCTACATTTAACAAACAAAGGCTGAACTGTTTTATAACCTTAAAGGTAGGGTATGTAAGTTTGAGAAACCGGCTCGAGATACACTTTGTTGTGTGTGTTGGAGGAGGGGCTCTGTAAGGAAGTGATTTTCTCCGGTCGTGTATTTTCAAATTCTAGCGATCTCGAGACTGTTTCTCAAACTTACCTACCCTACCTTTAACTAACAAAGGTTTTATAACCTGAGGCCCTTTCTGTACTTCTTCTGATCTTGGCATCCGCTCACTCAAAATGAACACATCTACTGATAATTAGCAAAGAGACCATTTTCTCTCCAACACTGGAAACTGAAATTCAATAACACACATGATAAACTATTTTTTAAACTACACATTGTACGATGTCTAAGGAGGCAGGTTGACCAATCACAACAGAGCCGGCAAGCTAACCAATCAGAGCAGACTGGGCTCTGGTTTCAGACAGTATGAGAAAAATAAGGAGCTTTTTGAACATTAAATTACTGTCCCAGGAGAGACACTAAGTGCATAATAGCAACCGTTTAAAGGTTTCACAATGTGTTTTTCTAATGGTATTATCCTGCTTGTTATTATAAACCCTGCCAACACTTACAGATACACATTTCTTCATAGATTGGCAAACTGCACAGGAATACATCAGAATCAGGCCCTGGGGAGGGTTGCTTTGTTGCGTTTGCCAGACCTTTAACTACCATCGTTGAAAACAAACAAGCAAGCACACGCTCGGCAGCCCCTCATTTGGATTCCAGCAAATGTCAAACTAAGAGCTTGTTGGTGAGGTTTGTTGCTAAGGAGGCGAGGGGTTAAGAGGCACGATGTGCACAATGCCCCGTCCTGAAGGAGGGGGACATAAAAAGGGTCTCCAAATACACCGCTCTATTTTAGGATTTAGTTTCAGCTGTTGGAGCTCAGGGGGGGATATCAGACCCAGAGCCCCGCTGGGCGACGCTGCTCATCTCGCTCGTAACCCGATGACGTCATGATGTGACGTCATGTGATCCAGTGTCTACTTACAGATTGGCTTTGCATCCATTAAGCATGATTTCAGCCACAGACAGACTCTCTGCTGTCTCACTGGAGCAGCTCATACTACAAACACACACTCACTGCTTGAATGCTGGAAGGTAGGTGTAGATGGCGATGCTGCTCAGGTTGTAGATGAAGGGGAGGTGTTTGGATATGTCAGCTGTTGACCAGTCATTGAAGAAGCTGTTCAAAACCCCCTGGTCTCCTCCTGAGAGAGAGAGAGAGAGAGAGAGAGAGAGAGAGACATCAACACACAGAGAGTACTTGACAGTTCCCTGGCTAATCCCCACAGGGGTGACGAGTTATTCCTCTCATGAGACAAAGATTGATGCCTACCATTTGCTCACTGACTGAAACTATGCTTGTTGCAAAGACAAACTCTGCTTCGCAACACCAGAAGCCTTTCAACAGGCTGTGGTGTCATAGCCTGTAAATAGATGGCAGATGTAGTTGAATTGCTCCATCATAGTTGTGTCAAGTAAAGCAGTTAAATGGTCAAACCGTACAGTGACATAAAATGGATTTGCACAACTAATGCAATATGAACACGTCTAAAATACATTAGCTTTTTGTTAGTGTAGTAGTAGTCTATGCACAGCAGCAGCTAAATGATTCATGCATCACCAAGCTGCTAACTTTCTGTCACTGTGTTGCTGGACAGGTAGCATACAGTCCGTTTATCAGAGCTTTTTCACAGAAAACATCCGCTAACTGTCAAAAGCTAGTGAAACCATAGTGTATTCAACAGAAGTAATCCGTTCAATCTGCAGTTTCAAATGAGTTTAAAATATGTAGAGCACATTAAAGCATTATGTGCCATTTGAGACACACATACTTAACGGTGCAAGCAGACATTGGGCTGCATGCGACGCTTGTCCCTGTGCAGAAACTCAGTGAGCAGTTCTAAAGTCTCAGGAAGGGTTCACATCACAAATACTGCAAGTCTTTATCCGTAGTGTGAACATGTTGGGAAAACTATGATGGCGTAACAGGTCTCTTTAGAAATGCGTCTTACGAAAGTGTCTGACAGGTTTAGCACATGACCGGATGGCTCCTTTGAAAAGCTGTGAGACTTTAGTGAAATGATCTGTGCTCCTTCAACGGCCAGATTCATTAGAGCTTCCGCGGACACCGCTCCATTACTCAGATCAGTCCAGGCATGCTGGGAGAGAAATGCTCCCACACATATAGGTCTACTACTGCTGGGGTCATTTAGAAAGTATCTGACTTAGTAGTAGAGTAAGAACTGAATACGTTTCCCTTCACAATCCTATCATATGACTTCTTTCAGTACAGTGTAGGTATATTGATCTCTGTCTGTACAGAGCGTTAAAGGGCAGGATGTGCTGAACACGCCTGACACATGTGAGTTAGTGTTGACACTCTACTCTGCCCTCCTCTCTGGAGGAGGAATACCACGGATCATTGTGTTGGTGGAGGCCCACGGGGTATATGTCATGTATGTAGAAAGCGTAGGTTCTCTGTCTGAACCACCACAGGGTGAGGGGTCATCTTATCTTATATTTGACGAAGATTGAAGCCTGCTATGTGCTCACTGACACTCATGTAAGTCAAAGTCTGCAAAGAGACACCAAAAACCTTTACAGTTGTAGTGTCACAGCCTCTATTGATCACATACATCCTAATGTTAAAGGTGGGGTAGGTAATTCACTTCAGATACACTTTGTTATATTCCATGGAATGCTCTTAACATCCAGATAGCAATGAATATCTGAAATGCTTTGACAATAAATCCATAAAGAAATATCATCTGTGGAAGCCGTGGCACTGTAAAAAGCTCGACCAATCATCTGAGCCGGCCCGGCTAAAGTAACTGGATGGCCTACCTGCCTGTCAGCCTTCCATCTGTGCACATCTGTGCACAAACTTATCTCGTGCCCTCATTGGTCATGTGCGCGTTCGTGTGTGTTGGAGGAGGGGCTCTGGAAGGAAGTGGCAGATTTGTTCCGGCTGCGTATTTTCAAATTCTAGCGCACTCGAGCTGGTTTCTCCATTCTTACCTATCCCACCTTTAAAGCAACACAGCTCAAATGTGTTGCTCAACATGCAGTACAGTAAGAGAAACTGTGGATCTGCACATTAAATGTATCACTAACATACATACTACATGGTCTAGTAGTCAAAGCCTCTATGAAGAGCTGTAGCAGAGGACGCACTAGGGCTGGAAAGTATGTGATCCTGATTCAGCATGTTTCCTAGATAAAAGAAATAATGAAGAAAATGCTGCCCTCTGCTGTTGGAAATCAATACTCACAATGTGTGGAATTTAATGTTATTATTCTCCTCCATTACCAAGCAGTGAAAACCCTGTTCTGGCGCAGTGGACCCTGAAGGTTGGATAAGCTTGGGACTTGTATATTCCAAGTTGTAATTAAGTTTAGGCGAGTTAAAACCAGATTCAATAGAGTTTCAAATCTGGAACCAACTAAAAAACCAGACTCATTGACTATTCATTGGTCCTAAAGTGATTGATACTGGCACACGACGAGATGCTGTCCTTTGATGGCACATGTAGTTCCTAAAAAGCACAGAACTGCAGTTTGTGAAACCGCTGCTGCTGCAGTTTTAAATAACACGCATAGCTGGTGTTTGTCTGAACCCACAACCTCTGCGGAGAGACACTTTAAACGAGGCTTCATTTTGAGGGGATGAGCAGGGCTCTGAAAGAATGTGCTTGTGACCGAGCCAGCTTGTGTTGGCAGCGGCGAAGTCCAGAGCCTCCGGGTCCAACCTCTGAAATTATTTTCCTGTTGTCTTTCCTCAGCTATTTTTCAATATCATCCAGAGAGCTGCCCGTGGAGGTTATGTCTTCCTTATAGCAGAGTGGAAATGAAATGCTAAAGGTCAACTCATGCTCCAGAGCACATGAAAGACCATCACGGCTATAAATAAGACCGCTCGACTCTTAGCCGGCCACAGGCACACAGACGCTCACATCCTACAGACATTCTGGATGCTAAAGCTGAAATTAAAACACAATTACCGCTTCACGGATGTTTACTGATCCAGTTAAGTTTACATCCTTATCTGTACCCTAGACTCATAATATAGGAAGTGGAGATTAAAGGAAGAGGTATTAAGTGTGTATTTTGGGGAAATGGAAGTCATTATATGGACATGTTTGGTACAGAGAGTTGGAAAACAGAATGCCAAAGACTTCCAATAATTATAATGACACTTGTGACAAACATGCTTCTCTATCCTGAAAAAAAAAAAAAGTATTTTGTCTGCGGTTGTGTATTATAAGTTACATCCTTATCGGTGTAGATTCAAAATATAGGAAATGGAGATATAAATGAATTAAAATAGAAAATGTTTATTTTGTAATTGCCAAAGAACTACAAACAACATCTTTTGTCTGGGGTTGTGTTGGAAAAAAACCTCTTATGTTAGCCAGGATAATTCGGCACTTGAAAGCGTTGGCACCGACTGAGCAAACTAATTGGTTCTCCGATGGACTCTCGCTGACGGATTGATTTGAACAGTGTCAGAAAACAAAACAGCTTGTCATTTAATGTTAAAAAAGCTTCACAGCCTCCAACAAGGACGAGCGCGCTTTGAGTCTCATCCTGTTCGGTTTGTTTCGGGGCTCTTTCAGCGCCCTGAGGAAACAATGACTTTGGTCCGAGTCCAGACGTCCACATCTCACGCTCTCTAACGCTGAATGGAGTTATCCGTTGTTCTCGTCCAATCATCATCAAGTACGACGGTTTGGTAACAAAATCATGTCCTTAATTTGTGGTTAAACGACAAAGTAATTTACTACATTTCTCGTTTAAAAACACTTTGTGTCACACCCCTCTTTTAAAATGGCATTACAGAAGCAGAGCTGCGCTTAGAGTTCAGGCAGAGTAGTAAACTATTAATACTTTTACAAACATAATAAATCTAATATCTATTCGTGGAGTTATCATGTCCCAATGTTTGGTTGAGCCTCGTACTGAAGTTCTTACTATTCTCAGTGTTTAATGAAGCTTAATGTGAAGGCATGTCCTCATGGAAAAAGATTGACTCGATTCTTCTTCCAAAAATGCCAATGGCTGAATCAAGTGTGAAGATTCCAGCTGTTTTATGTAATGTGCAAAAACTCGTTGGACTTTTCCTGTTAATCCAAGCTGATGAATCTGCATTACATAAGAACAGCAACAGCCCACACGTATGAACCAATGATCTTTCCAGGTGCTGAACACTGAACCTGATATGAAGCCAAGGGGAAGACCACAATTCAGTTACAGTACGCCTCGTGGAAAGGAGCTGCTGAATGTCAAACAGTCCCTGTGCAAAACCAGGCCTCTCAAATTTAGCTTGCCCCCCCCCCCCCCCTCACCGAGCCCCTGAGCCCCTGAGAATAACTCTGAGAGGGACAGTCAGTGACAGGAGGGCCTTGTGTCTGGGCTCGGTAAAAAGGCGTACTTAGAGCAAGATAAACAAGCTCCGTTTAACTTCATGATACCAAGAACTCAGTGTTACCCAAGGCTGGTCAGACCCTCAATGTGTGAGCACTGAAAACAGACTTCACTGGTGGTAAACCAGAAATAGCTGCCATTCTAGGGATATTAGATCCTTTCTTGTGAGGCGTTCGGCAAAAAATGTGATGAGTCTTTTTTAAAGAGAAACTTTAGATGCCACAAATATTTGTCTTACCCAATACCAACAAGCAGAACACGTTTTAAGGATAACTGAACGTGGGTAGACCCATTTAAAAAGAGGTTGGAATATCTTTTGAAAATGGCTGGAAACAGCGAGCGTAGTTAGCCAAGGTTAAAATCAAACCGACCAATCAGCACACACATTTTGTTTTCATACAAAAGCCAATAGAAAAGTCAGGTTATACTTTTTTTAAGGGAGGATTTTTAGTCAGCACTTTGATGGATATTATAATCTATCCTAATTTAAAGTAAGGATGCAACTTCTCCATATAACTGATTAAACTACACTTACTGAGTATTTTCAATTCCTAGTTCAGTCTGTGATTGGTCGACTGCTTAGAGATGTCCCGCCCCTTAGCCTATTCTATCATGTACAATGTGTTGAGTGCTAGCCAATAGAAGTGTGTGTTACATAGTGATATCACTGTTATGGAAGTAAACAAAGTCAAATGGAGGCGTTTCAGGCAGGGGGGGGGGCAGGGAGAAAGAAACCTTTGAATTTAAGCCTTTGCAGTAAAACCTATATAAAAACACACTACAGGAAATGGGAAAACTCCTTAAAAGCAGAATACGGCCTCTTTAACGAGCCGTTTTTCCCGCAGGTAGCGACGAAACTTGCAGGGAGCAAAGAGAAAACATTGCGCCATGTGAAAAGTCTTCTGGACTTACCGTCGAAGCTGCCGTGGTCTGTACAGTGCTGGAGCAGTTTGCCGTAGGTCTCCAGAGAGGGACGGAATACAAACACACCGGAGTTGAAGCAGTCGGGCCAGCCGGGGTCAGGAGCCGCCGACAGCTCCTCTCTGTTGAACAGCTCATCGATATTTGAGAGCACCTAGGATCAAATAGACAATAAATAGTAGCACCTTGAATTCTTCTCGCTTCAAGGTCACCCTATTAGACAAAATCCACTTCTCCATGTCTCTTCTACATCAACATGTGTCCCCTCTTCTTCATGTCTCTTCTACATCAACATGTGTCCCCTCTTCTTCATGTCTCTTCTACATCAACATGTGTCCCCTCTTCTTCATGTCTCTTCTACATCAACATGTGTCCCCTCTTCTCCATGTCTCTTCTACATCAACATGTGTCCCCTCTTCTTCATGTCTCTTCTACATCAACATGTGTCCCCTCTTCTTCATGTCTCTTCTACATCAACATGTGTCCCCTCTTCTTCATGTCTCTTCTACATCAACATGTGTCCCCTCTTCTTCATGTCTCTTCTACATCAACATGTGTCCCCTCTTCTTCATGTCTCTTCTACATCAACATGTGTCCCCTCTTCTTCATGTCTCTTCTACATCAACATGTGTCCCCTCTTCTCCATGTCTCTTCTACATCAACATGTGTCCCCTCTTCTCCATCAACATGTGTCCCCTCTTCTTCATGTCTCTTCTACATCAACATGTGTCCCCTCTTCTTCATGTCTCTTCTACATCAACATGTGTCCCCTCTTCTCCATGTCTCCTCTACATCAACATGTGTCCCCTCTTCTCCATGTCTCTTCTACATCAACATGTGTCCCCTCTTCTTCATGTCTCTTCTACATCAACATGTGTCCCCTCTGTGGAAAGACACTCTGAA